TGATTTCATGTACACAGAAAATGTATTCAATTCAAGGGTCTATCATAAAGTTTTCTGACAATACCAACCCAAGCTCACAATGAAAACGCACCACTATATACATTTCTAGAGAGCAGCAAAGACACCCCAGAGGTACGATTATTGTTTTATTTATTTATAATTTTTTTTGCAGCTTTTGTTTTTGCGAATCTACCAGAGACCGTATTGTACGCTTTTTGAAATCTCAAATTTCTCTCACAAGTGCCATTCATGCCTGCTGTTCTCGCATAAATCCACCAGAGGCAGCTGTCAACTGATTGACTGTCTGATTGATTGACCGATCGACTGATCCACCATTCTCTTTCCAACCAACCTAACCCACCATTTTTAAACACAACCAATAGTGTTTTCAAAAGCACTGACTGACCCACCCACTTGCCTAAACCCAACCAACAGTTTTTAAAAGCAATCCAGAAAAAGATTCCTTGCCTCATTTTTACAACGTTTTCAGATGATTGTACCACAGTCTCACCCTGTTTTTTAATTGTTTATTTATTTTTTGGCTTCTGTTTTTGTCTTACCGGCTTTTTGGAACCGTTCTAAGCCATAATCAAACTCTGGCATCGTGGTCAACTCCTCTCTACGTCTCAAGTCCGCTGATGTACAAGGCAAGCCACTGAACAAACTGGTTGCAGCAGAAAAGCCATCCATACGAAGGTAAGCAGTCAGCTGCTAGAGCAAAAAGGAAGACATCATACAGCCCCGTAGCATTCATTTAAAAAAAAAAATGCAGCCATATGTACTTCTGGTTACATAATTTACGATCTCCAGAAATGTATATAGGGCTACGTTTTCAGAATAGGACAATAATATGTCAAAATATGAGTAAAATTATGTTCCATCATCAATTAATCATTATTATTATTGCAATCAGTATGCCTGACTTTTTTTTTAGTTTAATTATTTCTCTATGGTAAAAATGTTTGGTTTAATATAAGTTATGATATATAGCCAGGGTGTGAATTACAGGAGGGATTGACTGGTGCTCCACAGGGCTGTGTTCTCAGCCCACTCCTGTACTCCCTGTACACACATGACTGTACAGCCAAAGACAGCTCCAACATCATCGTTAAATTTGCTGATGACACAACGGTGGTGGGCCTAATTACCGATAATGATGAGACAGCCTACAGAGAGGAGGTGCACACTCTGACGCAGTGGTGTGAGGAAAACCACCTCTTAATCAACATTAGCAAAACCAAGGAGCTGGTGGTGGATGTCAGGAGAGAGAAGAGAGAACACACCCCCATCACCCTCAAGGGGACACCAGTGGAGAGAGTCAGCACTTTCAAGTTTCTTGGAGTCCACATCGCTGAGGATTTGACATGGACGGCTCACACAGTCGCAGTGCTGAGGAAGGCACAAAAACCCCTCTTCTACAGCAGGCGTCTCAGGAGGTTTGGAATGAGCCCCCACATCCTCCGCTCGTTCTACAACTGCACTGTGGAGAGCATCCTGTCTGGCTGTATCACTACCTGGTATGGAAATAGCACCAGCAGCAATCACAAAGGCCTACATAGGATTGTGCAAACTGCTGGACGCGTAGTAGGAGGTGAGCTTCCCTCCCTCCAGGACATCTACAACAGGCGGTGCATGAGGAAAGCCAAGAGAATTATCAGCGACTCCAGCCAACCAAGCCAAAGGCTTTTCTCTCTGCTACCCACAGGCAGACGGTTCCGCAGCATCCGATCACGCACCAGCCGGCTGAAGGAAAGCCTCTTCCCTCAGACTATCAGGCTGATGAACACTTAACACACCCCACACAGACAGACTCTTCCTTACCCCTCACTGCACACCATCAATATGTAGCATGCACTGCACTTTAGCCAATCCATACTTGAAACAATACTGCCTACAACAACTATGTGGACACATATTCATTGCACATATCGCTTTTTATTTATTTATTTATTTTATACGTATGCTGTTGTATTCTACACTGTCGTTGTATTTGCACTATCTGTATTTTGCACTGTCGTTGTATTTACACTGTCATTTTATTTGCTCTGTCTGTATTTTGCACTGTCGATGTATTTTGTAGTGTCTGGAGCCAGCACCTAAGCTATTTACTCATCATAGCACACGTGCTGCTGATGATGTGACAATAAAAGTGATTTGATTTGATCAATATCTTAAATATTAATAATAAAAAAATGTATACAATGTACATTTTCACCCCTCTATACAGGTTTATACTATTGTGAATGCATAATTGTGCCAATCAATGCTAGAAAAAAATCATTCAACAGTCTGAAACTTGCAGTTCTAGAGCATCGATAGACATCTTAGGTATTCACAAAACATGTTTCATGTAAAATAGGTTTTTATTTCTGCATGAAGCTTAAAAAAATTTAGACACAAAATATGTATATTTTGACCTACAGCAATTTTTAAAATAATCACTAAATATCCCTCAAAACACTGAAAATGTCTACATTTTATAAATAAATTAGATGTAATTTATGGGGAAGCAGTGGCGCAGTAGGTAGTGCTGTCGCCTCATAGCAAGAAGGTCGCTGGGTCGCTGGTTCGAGCCTTGGCGTTTCTGTGTGGAGTTTGCATGTTCTCCCTGCTTTCACGTGGGTTACCTCCGGGTGCTCCGGTTTTTCCCACAGTCCAAAGACATGCGGTACAGGTGAACTGGGTAGGCTAAATTGTCCGTACTGTATGAGTGTGTGTGTGAGTGTGCGTGTGGATGTGTCCCAGAGATGGGTTGCGGCTGGAAGGGCATCCGCTGCGTAAAAACTTGCTGGATAAATTGGCGGTTCAATCTGCCGTGGTGACCCTGGTTTAATAAAGGGACTAAGCCGACAATAAAATAAATGAATGAATGAATAGATGTAATTTAAATACATTTATAAATCAATTCAGTGCCGAAAACCTCCCCCCCAATTGTCAATGTATAATTCGCACACTGTATATATCTAAATCAAATAGGACATGTTTTAAAATACAAAAACATTTCAGCTATATCAACATACTTTTTGTCTGTTGGAGAAAAAAATATGTATATCATTATCATTTCCTAACACACACAAAGCATTTATAGGCATATTTTGAGTTTAAAAATTAAAGGAATAAGTTACAGATTAATCAAATCAGCATTCAAGAATCTAAATCTGTTCAGGATCAGGAACAAACACAGTATTTGGACTGGAATCAGATGGTCAATTAGAAGTTTCTTAGCAAGTCTGCCTTCGTCAAGACTACACTTGTGAATTGACATTTTCATATTGTCAAGCAGTCAACTGAAATTGTTATTTCCACTGACTTAATGAAGCCTTAATCTGTGACTTTGTGTGTAATTACAGTAACTTCTCATTTAACAACTCCTCCACATAGCATCCAACTCTTCCAGTCTTTCCAGTTCAACGCAAACTCGTATTTCAGTTTCACACTTCATCAAATAAAACCTCAGCCGTTAGTTCTTAAAAAATTATCTTTGTAGTCAGTGATAAAGCAAACTCACATTCTATCTGCACGTATACTGTACGCATATATAGACGGTTTGCTAGGTAAACATGACTTTCCACAGAAGGCTGACATTTATTTGACCACACAAAATAAGCTAGAAGAGGAAACGAGAGAGTTTTAAAAAGTAATCTTCACACATATGAGTGAAGCACACAGGATGTGACCAAACCAAGAGTTACTGGTTTAACAGTATGGGTTTTTAATTGGTTGATTCTGATATCGATAGTCAGATGGCCAAAACAGATGAACGCACAATTTTTAAAAGACCTTATAACATGTACTTACTAAATTACATAAAAATACTTAACCACACTGTAAAAAATGCTCCACACAATACCTTGATGTTTTTTTTAACTCAAATCAAGTAAGTTAACGTATCCCCAATATTCCCAAAAAACTGAAGAATTTTAATGATTCAGCTAATTATAAATAGGTAGTTTGAACAATATTTACAGAGAAAAAAAATAAAGGGTTTCTCACAATTCATTCATGTTGTCCTAACACAAATCGATTAACTTAACACTTGTAACATTTATGTGTATTGAACATAAAAAAAATTGGTTGCCCCAATGAAATCTCAAGAATTGTGTTGTTTCAGCTCATTCTAATAAGTAGTTTAAACAAGAAAAAACATGTATTTTGAGTGTAGTTTGAGTGCATATTATCAATTAAAAATTACAATTGTCTTAAAAATAGGTAAAACATAGAGGTTTGAAGGATATTGGTACTAAATAACATGTTTTTGTTTTAAACTTGAATGACAAGCTTTTTTTCAGTACACTCTAAAATATATATTTTTTACTTGTTCAAACTACCCAATTAAAATGAGCTGAAACAACACAATTCTTGAGATTTCATTGGGACAACACATGGTAAAATATGTCTAAATGTGGTATTAAAAGTCTAACAAATGTCCTAGTACGTTCTGTTTAATGAGGTCAGGCTTAAAAAAACACTCACTGGACAAATTCGCATCAAATGCTGTGTTTTTCCAACTAATTTCCACAAGAGAGCTCCGAGATGGATGGAAAATTAACCTTGAGGTGACAGAATCGCAGAAGGTCACCTAACTCACCACGACTCTCTTTCTCCAAGCCCGAAAAATCCCCACATTTTCTCTCAGGACATTGTTAAACAGTTCTGAATATGAATAAGTCCCGACGGAAAGCCAAAGGTCAGCGCAAGCGTATCATTTCTAATAACAAAGCCGATCAAAAAAATCAATATAGCTTCCCTTCACAGGAGGAGAAAAGCTCAAATAAAACAACTAAAGCAGCCAGATAAGCGAACTGAATAAAAATGAAAAACAGCAGTCTGCCTGTACGCTAGCAGGATGGACCACCAAAGACTGAATGAAAACAAAGCGCCCCTGATCACGCAGTTTTATCCGGCACGCGATGCGATGGAGCCCGTGTACCAGACGCAGCCGAAAGCGGAGCACACTTCAGTAGAAACCTCTTTATCCCGACCCGTAGGCGAGAACTCACCTTATTGCGGAGGAAAAGCGTATTTCCAGGTATTTAGTGAAGTATATCCATCTTGTCGCCCCGGTGGCAGCGCAGCGGTGGAGTGCGCCGATCGAGCCGCAGTGGAGTGAGTGAAGGCGGCGCTTGAGACTCGCAGCAGCGGCAGCACCTGCTCCACTGATCCGCCCC